AATAAATAATAGAGCAGAACATCGAAACTGAAGAACGCAAACCGCGAAAGAGGCGCATGTTCGGGCTCGCGCAGGTGCTTTAAAAGGCACCAATAGCTCCCCTGACGACGCAAAAATCTACTGGGCGATATCAAGGAGCGGCCAGGCTCTCTAAATCGACCGCAAATTCGGTTTTTTAACCTATCGCCTTCCGATTTTGTTCAGCGTTGGCCACAGGTGGTGCTTTTTTTTCTATAAAATTTGCAAAGAGCGAGCTACCTGATCAGAAAAACGTAAAAAAGAAAAAGGCTTAACTCATATGGAAACGCAGCGAAGCCACCGGTCTTCAAACCACAGGCCGCCCAATGGTTTGAGGACTGGTGGCCTCTCTGTGTTTCCAAAGGATTTAAGCCTTTTTTGTTTTACGTTCTCCTCGTGTCAGCTCGATCTTTGCGAATTTTATAGAAAAAAAGAATGCATCAACTCTGGCCAACGCTGCACAAAATCAGAGCACGATAGGTTAAGAAACCGATTTTTGAGGTCGATTTAAAGAGCTTGGCCGCTTCTTCAATCACCCGATAGTAAAAGCCAATTACTACGCTGCCACTGAATTTCAACCTGCTACTGAATTGGAAAGTTCTCACACTTTGTACGTATATACAGGAGATCACAACCACGACGGGTGCAGCTCAGAAATTCAACCAGTCCGAGATTGATGAAAAGAGTACGGCCGACACAGTCACATACTCTCTGAGCATGCTTACCCTGCCGATCCTCGGTCTCAGTGTTCAAGGGTTCAACACGATCAGATATACAACTAATATATATTTTTTTTAATATTCTTTGCAATAAAAAACGACAAAAAGCTATCCTCACCTGCGTTAGGCAAACACCCACGACGTTTGTTGTTGTTATGATGCCACAGCTAGTACGGTGCATCATACCAAGGTCCACAGCTGTCGAGACCAGTGTTGCTGCTCGCGCTGACAAAATGTTTATTCCACCAATTTACGCGAATTGCACAACAGATGTTATCTTGGCGGATCTTAAAGGTTCACGAAAGCTAAGGAAGAATATAATTTATAGTCGTTTTGTAGTTATCTAAGTTACAAATATCATTTACGACTGCCTGCACGTGAATATCGGATGGGAAAGTGAACCCCCCCCCCCTCCCCCCGGTGGTCACCTGCAGAAAGGTGGTCATTCCACAGCGGTTTGGGGTCGTCACCTTGCCCAAAGGCAAGGTGACGACCCCAACTAAAACTCGCCTTTTGGGGTAGTCAAAACCTCCAAAGCGCCATTTGACTACACAGTGTAGTCATTTTTTCTCAGAGTGTGTGTTACGTTATGTGGGTGTTCCATGACAGGTCGCTAGTGAATTCCAATATATTTATAGGACGAGCACGTGAAGATGGGGTGGCTGCACAGAGTATGTGTTAAAGTGAGCATACTCTGCACGCCCGTAAATGAAATGAGTTGCGTTTCAGGAGAACTAATTGTAATTTGCCACTTTTCGCACCAGTAACTTATCTGGTTAGGATCAGTTTGTAGAGATAACTAAAAGTTATGGTCAGGCACAACATCGTAAATCTCGCAGTCATCTGCGAACAATCTAATTAGGAACAATATATGAACGGGGAGGTCATTTACAAATACTAATAATAAAGATACGGTTTAAGAAGGTTGCCTTGGTGGTCTCCGGATTTGTCAGGACAATGTGAAGGCGATGAAACATTAATTGCGGTGCACTGTGTGGGATTTGATAAAATTCTGAATTCCGGGATGTTATGGCATTGGTGAAGGCGCAGTTGGTTTAGCATAATCATGAGTAGCCTATGGGATACCTCCTCTAAATCTTTAGAAAAATCAATAAATATGGCATCACTCTGTGCGATATTATATAGGTTACTGTGCATTTCAAGAACAAGCTGAACCCAGTTGTGATTCACGAGAATATAACTTTCGAATACGTGCGAATTGAAAACAATACTATTTTTTGTTTGCTTCATGGCGTTTTAATTGCATTATGTTCTCAAGAAGTTTGCAGTGGGAACCAGTAAGAGAAATGTGACGATAGTAAGAGCATACATTTCGGTCGCCTGATTTGTAGATGGTAATGACTCAACTAATTTACAGTCCATGAGAGGGTGATCAAAATACAAAGATTGTTTCAAGATATGTAATAAAAAATAAGTTTAGTTATATTGTGTAATATTGAGTAGTTTGAAATTAATTTGCTTATCTTCAGAACTCGATGAGTATCTTAACATTTACGTAGTGTTGATTATCTAAAGCGATTTAAATAACATTTATAGAATAATGATGTAAAATGTTACCATAAGACTTGATGTTGCAAGCATCTGCCAAAAAACGGAGCTGAAGTATTGATTAAGTTTGCTGAAACTTCGCTCGTCCGACAATGGTAAACCGCCATCACCACTTAGCGGCCGCTCAAGAACTGCTTCATCACGTAGCGCCCAATGTAACAGCCCAAGCACGCGAAACCAGCAAATTAATATCGAAATACCAGCTTGACCGTGTTTTGAAGCTCCTAAAGTCCATGAAAATTAAATGTGCAACTACGCCGCTCCTACTTTTTCTGCAAGTATGTGCAAATCGCTCCCTTTTAATTTTTAACACGCAGGTTTGCTCAAAGCACGTACTCGCTGAACTGTTACGTATACATCCCGTACAACAACCAGAAGATCTGACTTGAAAATCTTGTAAACAACTCAAAAAATGTCTTCTTAGGAAACCAAATCTTATACATAGCACTGGATAAGGTACATTGCCGAGTGCAGAGGGTCACGAAATGGTTTTCGGTTTGTAAACATTTTCACACATCAAAAGCAGCTGTTGCAGCTGCCTCCATTCACCGCGTCTCTCAGTTTTTTATTTTCATTTTTTGTCTAATTTTTGTTTTGGGAGGTTAAAACACCAAATAGCACCACCGAGGCCCATGTCAACGACTCTCAAAAAATATTTCAGCGTGAACTGAGGAAATTTCACCCTTTACACCAAAATCCATAGCAAATCTTGTTTTGTGAAGTATTTTGTGACACGACACGCACTCGTGTGCGTCGTGAGCTATTTCTTTCCTCTCTGTTGCCTCTTACTTTGAAACAGCGCAAATCTCGTTCCACAGCTTCAAGACTTTAGACAGCTACTAATTTTTGTCGCTCAGGTGTTACTGTGCGCAGCGTACGTACGTGTTGTTGTTGTTGTTTTCGACCCTTGGCCGCTAGATTTTATCCGAGGAGCTTTCATTGTTAGAGATGAAAAATTCCACATTCTGTTGTTGAACTGCGGAAGGTGCAATATACCTGCATCTCTTTACTGGATATTGTTTGCTCGACCGTTGTACATACTGCTATATTTCATTTCTTTAAACTGAGTTGCAACATCTGCCTCTGTCAATGACCCCAAATTTAACGCCGTGTGGCGAGCGCGAGTGCACGTTGTTTACTTGTTTAAATCATTTCCATAAATACAAAGTGGAAAAACAAATATTGGTAAACACCTAGCCTACCCGTAAGGTGAATCAGTGCGACAGCTGAGCAGTGACGTCAGAGTCACTAAGGAGTCATTTCGTTAAAAAATGGAGTGAATGATCGATAAAGGTGCGATTGCGCACCATCGAGTCCGCCTAGGCGTTTCGCATTAAACCAAGTAGCATACCAGACGAAATTGTCATAGCTTTCTTATTGGACAAAAACGGAGGCTCTTTTGTGGTACATTGAAGAACACTTTGAAAATCACGCGCCCAAGTTAGAAATCCAGGGAACGACGAAACTGCATGTGTATGCATGGACCGTTTCCTGTCGTTGATGTGACTGTCTGAACGTCTTAGGCAATGTTATTGTACACACAATAACACCCCCTTTTGGTCACTGAAGAACACTTCCAAAATTACTCACTCGAGTTTCGAGCGTGTAGCTCCACCCAATTTCACGCCCGTGGTTTCGCCAGCTTAACATCCACCTAGCTTAATTGGTTTCATGGTCCGAAAACCTTTCCGGCACAATTAGCGAAAACGCTTTTTTTTATGCTTTCATTATTAGCAGTTTCATGCTTAAGTTTCTACGTGCCGTCGTGGTGTCACGTAATTACGTATCGTCACGTGACGTCATGACATCACGTGACTCACAGTGTCACTTAAAGTCATTATGTCGCTTGGCGTCACTAGGCAACGTGACTTGATACGATACTGTCAGGTCGTGGTGTCAGCCGGTGCCAGGTAACAGGGGGCGTGATGCGCGGCGAGACGTCAATGTGAAATCTTTTGTGGGAGTGCAAGAAATGGCTCACGTCGATATGGAGCGCGGTCGACGGCGCGAAACCAACGCAATCTCTCACTAACTGCTATCGCAGTAAGACGCTTGCAGGTAACTCTGCTCGAGGTCACTTTCTGTTGAATTTTCGTGTTTTCACCTTTTTTTTTTTTTTCAGCACTGCATTAGGTGGATGACTTAATAGTGTTTAGATAACATAACATCACCGGCTCTAAAAAAAATAAGGCATGAAGTGATAAATATGGGTAAACTCATTCAGCAGCGCACCGTCTTGCACTACGTACTCTTTACCCTTTATTCCGACAGATTGAAACATTTCACAATTAAATTTTGGTTCATGATATTTTATAATGCTTTCTAAACTTATCACAACCTAATTTACTTATTTATTTTTAATCATATCTAAAATCAGGTTCATATTTTTATTTTTAAATATTGAGCTCTAAAACAGGACGGAAACATGCATCTATTATCAACGTAGTGCGAACACCTTCCAGGGAAATGAACCGACCGAACCTTCAGCTAACGCACCGTTATACAACATTTAGTCATACGTGCAGGAACGCTGGGCTAGCATTGTCCTGTCTTTTTGGTTTTGGACGCAACGTAATCTCTTTGTTCAAGTGTCGCACCTCTACCCTAGCACAATGACCGCTGTCGTAGTTCAGGTTGGCGAACCAAGACTATATAAGTGGCCGTACACTTTTCTATGCTTCAAAGACATCCAGGATGGAGAAATCATTTCGATGCCTGCGTCTCGCAGTGGCTGTGGCTGTTTTTACAAAAAGCTATGGTGAGCATACGTTTCTATTTACTATAACAAGAAACACACAACAACAAAACTAACGACAAATAAGCGAATCTTTAAATTATTATGTGGTTTCGAGCTTAGCTTTGTTCCTGGGGTTTTCGCCAAGTTCTCTAGGTACTAACAATCGCCAACTGAACATTAAATGCTTTGTGCTAAGTAGTATCCGCATGTTAACCATTCCTGGCATAGAAATATATGCTAAACCCTTAACTTGTCAAAATTATTCGCGCAATTTTTATTTAACAAGATATTTTTAGTTAGCGCATGTTCTTGCCTGTTAAGAAAAACAATAGGGTACGCTTCTGTTCATAGAACTCTCGAGGTATTTGATTAGTAGTGATGTAATTCGTCTGAGCCGTTTTGTAGTACGTTTTGGTGTAGCGAAATATCCATTCTGGAGCACCAAAAAGAACTTGGGGAGCCATTTTGATGAATTACCCGAAACTGGGGGGAGGAAATTAGAAGCAACAACCCTGGAGGAGAAAGGTGGACAAAGTCTCCCACTCAGCTAAACATTTATTCAGTAACCCTCTCTTATATATGCATCCTTCCCCCAAGGTCGCCACCCTTTCCACACAAAAGGTCAAAACCTTTCTTAACTTCTGTGTAAATAGGGTTGCGACATTCGGTGTTAAGACTCCATGACAGCAAAACAGAGATCGAGCGGCACATTCAATTCTCACATCTTTTTGCATTATCATAATCAAAACTTTACGTGGCTATATTTTCAACCAGAAAGAGATACTCTATTTAACTCTTACGCACTTAGTAAAGGTGTTTCTCGCTACCGCTGCTAGCAGATTCTTCTTGGCATGTCAAGCCCTCTTTCCGCGTCTGGAGCACGCCCTGGCTCTGCCCGCCCCCATTGACCAAACTCTCTCTATACACGCGGCTCTGCAAACGGCCACTGCGCTATACCAAATCGTTGACCCACACACAAAAAAAGTAAATGCACTGTACCAAAACTTTTATATATATATATGAAAGGCTAGTGACGTCACTCCCCACGTCGCAAGGTGCTGTCACCGCTGCAGTTTGCGCAACTGTAATCTTTACCAGGAGACGTTTACGGTGAGCGCTACGTGCTTCGCACTGTTATCAGGAGCACCTTATCCTCAATTATGTGGTTCGGATGCTTGTTTTCTGCTTGTGTTTTACTTAAACTAATGTTGTGCTGTATGTTTTATGCGTAATATGCACTTTCCGCCTCGATCGCTGAAGCTTTTTTTTTTTTTTTTTCGTGAGGACGCCGACACGAAGAAATTTAACTTGCGAGTCCCCCATATACAGCTTGGCTGTAAAATCTTTCTGTACTCTATCATATATGCTAGCCAGTCTTATTTTTCACCAAAAGGTAGACTTGTTAAGCACTCGCGGATTTTAGTTTTAATACATTCGACGCTTAGGTGCGTGTGCGCCAAACTGCCATGGAGGAGTGATTTCCGTTTAGTACGTAGGCGTGCTGCGGCGAAGCAAAATACGCAACATCGCGATACCTACACTGCTGTCCTCGTCTCACTGCAATGCACGAAAGCGCAGCAAGAAGCACACTCAACGAAGCTAACTAACCTGCCAGAACAAATAAAACAAATTATAAATATCGCGAAACCTCCAAGTGCTGTTAGCGTTTGACACAGAAATCAAATCGAGTAGTATGCTGTTTGGAGCGATAATCGAAAGTTCTGAAAGTTCGCACAAGCCTACCGGACGAATCGGCTGTGTAGCAGAGCCTGAGTTTTTATATATATTTAGTAAAACATCAAACGAAATTACATTTTGGCGCAATGTTGGCTAAATGCATCATATGTTTGGCGAAATATAGCAAGATGTACCAGGGTAAACATTTCGGCACAGGTTGGCGCAAATGATGCAGAAATCACATCACTGGATTTGGCACATGTAAATGCTTTGCCGACGTAAGCTGGCCAAGGCAGAATTTCTGCATATGAATGCTCGGTAAATTTAATATTTTTACGTGTTTGCGTTGAGGCTGTTCCACTCATTTCCGTTGGAGTGGGATCAACAGCGTATCAACCGCTTGTAACCGCCTAAGACCAAAGGACTGGCTGGCATGCTGGCACATTTGCGCCATCATGTAGCCCTAGAGCATTTCCCATGGGGCATAGGTAGACTGAAGGCCTGCGGCATTTGCGAAATCAAATCAATTTGTTACCTATAAGGAATAACCTCTGTAATGTGGTCAAGATCATTTCAAGGTCACCGGTGACAAAAAAAATTGTAATAGATGCGCAGATCCAAAACGTTTCAAGGCTTTTCGACAAGTGGCGTCCATACGTTCCCTCGTCGTTAGCGGGCGCAAGAGCGGTTGCAACGCAGTCGGTCCACTCAAACGCAAAGGTGTGAATCAGCTTTTAGAACGATAGGGTCGTGTCGTTTCTGTGGCAGGTTGTGTGCCCTTGCTGAGGAATAGGTGAAATATCGTGTCTTTGCCTTTGAGCTCAGTGGCTTTGATCGGCGCAGAGGCCTTACCGCCGAATTCTGAAACCGCACTCAAACTACACTCAAACTGAAGGGCCCCTCCACTTCCTCGAGGAAGGCGCGAGGGCCGGCGCTGGCCAATCGCGACGGCGATCCGTCCTCGCGATTGGCCAGCGCCGGCCCTCGAGCCTTCCTCGAGGAAGTGGAGGGGCCCCTCAGTTTGAGTGTAGTTTGAGTGAGGTTTCTGAATTCGGCGCTTAGTTTAGTTGAATTTATTGCGTCGTATATTTTTTTTCTCTTTTTGAACCGCGAATGCGTGTACTCGTTGTCTGGACCAAAGCAGATAAGCTCTCGACAAATAAGTCCTTGTGCGTCTGCCTCCCCGCAAGGCCTCTGGTGGATCATCTGCCAAAATCGATAAAGTGCAAACGAATAACGAGTGCGGGAACTGGGTTTAGCTGAGAAACACGATCGGCCTAAAACAAGATTCATGTTTCCACGAATGTGATATACTCTCAGAAAGAACTTCGACCAAGTATACAATTGTACCTCTCCCGCCTTCTGATATGTCCAATCATAGCCGTTCCCTCTCGTCCACGTTATACGCTGCATTCGTAATAACCTTTCACATCCAATGAGTATGTTTTGGTGCATGTTGTTCCTGCACAAATCGGGTTTTTGAACCGAACAAATTTTGTGGGTGTTTATTCTTAAGTTCTTTCCGCAGATCACGAATACTCTGTCAACAATAAGTCACGTGCGCATTTTATTAGAGCACCATTTGCTTACGTCCTGGCCAAATTATGCCTGTCTGGTGTGACATTGAAAAGTCTACGCTGGTAACAAACGCTTTAGTTACATCTGATTGATGTCTTTGAGGCCCTATATATAACACTGTGAAATACGTTCTTATGCTATTGGCATCCTGAACAACAGATGTTGTTGTTGAAAAACTTTATTGAGTTGAAAGATTTAGGAAAGGGAAGGGGAGAAAGGGGAAGAAAAAGGAGAGAGTGGTTGTGTGCCCCTATTCCGGGGCTCCAAGTGCGGAGTGAACTCGGAGTGCTCGGGCCACGAGCAGCCTCTGCTCGCTAGCCGTCGCGTACTTGAGTCCCGCTTCCCACTCCTCGAGTTTGGGCTCCTCGACTGGAGCCAGTCCTGGGAGGTTCTTGCATGCCCAGACAACGTGATAAACGTCCACCCAGGGCTCACCACAGAAGGGACAGTCCGCCGTGGCGTACCGCTCTGGGTACCACAGATGTAGCTGGATCGGTGTGACGAACGTGTCCGTCTGAAGTCGTCTCCACGTGAACTCTTCTTCTTTGCTGAGACCTTTGGCCGGCCCAGGATATTCTGCCCTATGTGTTCGTAGAGCCTTTAAGGCCTCACTGTAAGTGAGCGCACTGTCCAGATCCCTCTGGGGCAGAACCGAGTCCCGGTATAACGCACCTCGGGCCGCAGCATTCGCCGCCTCGTTTCCGACTTGCCCCATATGGCCGGGGTCCAGATCAGATGTACTCCCTCTACTGCGGTTTTGCGGAGGAGCCTTAGAGCTGGTTGACCCACGACCCCTCGCGCAAAGTTTTGACAAGCTCTTTGTGAATCCGAAATTATCGTCGCACGAGGATTGCAAACCACCGCCAATGCTATGGCCGCCTCCTCCACTTGTTCAACCGTCTGCACTCGTATGGAGGCGACGCGTCTGATCTGCCCTTGCGCACTGGCCACCGCTATTGCAGCCACCCCCAGCACCGGACCGGCCCCATCCACGTACAGGGTTCCCTCTCTGCTGTCCCAGGAACGCGCTAGGGCCACCGCTCGCGCTTGTCTCCGTTCCGCATGCCTATCCGGGTGCATGTTGCGGGGGATTCTACTGATCGTGAATCTCTGCCTGGTCTCAGCCGGCAGCTCTTCCCCCGCGTCTCCGGGCCCGTGAGAACCGCCGGGTACTGCCATTCCCAGTTTGTCCAGAAGCCACGCTCTCAGCTGTGACACTAGTTGAGCTTCATAAAGTTCTTCTATGGTGTTATGCACCCCAAGTTTAAGCAGTTTCTCGGTCGCCGTACGCTCCGGTAGCCCCAGCGCGTTTTTGTACGCTCTCCTTATCAGTACGTTTAGCTTTTGCATCTCCGCCTTGTTCAAGTTCAGGTACGGAGTGCCGTACGTCAGTCTGGCAATAATGAAGGCCTGGACCAACTGTATTGCCTCTTTCTCCTTTATACCGTGTCTACGGTTCCTAATTCGCCTCATCATACCGCACACCTGCGTGGTCATGGCGTCCAGTCTGTCGATAGTCGACTTGTTCCCCCTCCCCTGTTGTAGAAGCTGGCCCAGAATCCGAACCTCCGCTGGTTTTGGGACCCGGACCCCACCTATCACCACGTAAATGTGATCGACTAGCTTATCGCGAGGGTTTCGGAAGACAAGAAGCTCAGATTTCTCCGGGGCGCACTTAAGCCCGCATCTCATAACGTACTCTCCGACGATATCCGCCGCCGCCTGAAGCTTCTCTTCTATTTCCGCGTCACTGCCCTCCCTGCACCACAGGGTGATGTCATCCGCGTAGATGGCATGCTCCACGTTCGGAACCGCCCTCAGCGCTTCTGGTAGACCCCGCAGCGCAAGGTTGAACAGCAACGGGGAAAGTACTGCCCCTTGCGGCGTACCCCTGGAACCCAGTCTGTATGTCCCAGATTGCATACTTCCCAACGTCGACGTGGCTGTCCTGTCCGCCAAGAAACTGCGGACATATTCGAAGATTCTTCTCCCGCAGTTAACTGTGCTGAGACCCCTAAATATGCTTTCGTGCGAAACATTATCAAACGCGCCTTTCAAGTCTAAAGCTATAAGGCATCTCGTTTGGCCGCTCCTCGGATTCTCCAGTATATCCTTATATATCCACAAGAGTATGTCCTGCGTCGATGTGTGAGGTCTGAACCCGAACTGCGTGTTCGGAAGGAGTTGTTCCTTGTCTAGATACTTCATAACCCTGGAGTTTATGACTCGTTCGAACGCCTTGCCCAGGCAAGATGTAAGCGGAATCGGCCGCAGATTTTCTAGCTTGAGCTCCTTTTTGGGTTTTGGAATGAAGCGAATGTCAGCAACCTTCCAACTATCTGGAGTAAGCCCGCGCTCCCAGAAATGTTCGTTGAAATGGCGTACCAGCTCTTTCAGGTCCCTTTCCCCTAAGTTGTAGAGGAGTTTCGCTGTGAGGGAGTCCGGTCCGGGTGCTGCGCCCTTCCTCATAACCCCGAGCTCATACTCCAACTCCGCGACAGTAATTGGCCTGTCTAATTCAGGGTTTTCCTGCCCTTCATACTCCACAATTTCTCCTGTGGATTCCAAACACAAATACCTTTCCGCCAGCCGATCCATGATCTGCTTGCGGTCCCCGGGTAACTTATGTGTCAGTTCCGCTAAACGGCCGCCCGTCACCGCCTTTGCCCTACTCGGATCGATTAAGGCCCCAAGCATCCTCCATGCCTGAGCCGTCCCTAGGCTTCCCCGTATAGAGTCACACAGGCCATACCAGTTCTTCCTAGCCAAGTCCACCGCATAGTCCTCGGCCAGCTTTGTGAGTGCTTGAATCCTCTTCCTCAGCTTCTTGTTGTAGCGCTGTTTCTTCCATCTCCTGGTCAGCCCGCGTCGTGCTTCCCAAAGATGAAGCAGACGCGTGTCCACTGCTGGGGTCTTCTCTGAGAGTTCAACTTCAGCCACGAACGGCTTGACACTGGCGATCACCTCCGAAGACCAATCCTCGATGTTCTCGATGCTAGCTGCACCTTTCCCTCTCTGTTTTCGCCATCGGTCCCAATCCGTTATTCTTGCCTTTCCCGTCTTTCTTGTGCATCCGGACTCGTGAATAGTCGTTTCGAGGATACAATGATCGCTACCGAGTTGCTCCATGAGGTTAGTCCACTCAGCGTTCGCCACGTTCTTGACAAGCGTCGGGTCCGGACAGGTGTCTCTGCATGAGCTCATGCCCGTACTGGTTGGCTGATCAACCTCGGTAAGCAATGTTAGGCGTTCCTGGTTGATGCTTTCCGCCAGCCTTCTGCCTTTCGGAGAAACGTACTTGTAACCCCATCCCGGGTGAGGGGCGTTGAAGTCTCCCGCAATAACCACAGGGTCCTTCCCCGCCTCCTTGACCACCTTCGCGATGAGCCGCCTGTAGTCCGTCTTATGGTTCTTTGGATTTCCATACACGTTCACCACATGTACACCCCGATCCCCTTTTTTCACTGGGATGATCACAATGTGACAGCACGAAACCTCACAGCCATCCAAGTCTAGTCTCGTGGCTGCGTAGGTCTTGTGCACAAGCGTCGCGACGTATTGGTCGCCCTCAATTGTAGCCTAGTCTTTGATCTTCACTGGTTTCTTGCCCGGCTCCTGCAGCAGTATCACCGCCGGGGGATTGGGTTCAAGCGACACCCTCAGGCTAAGGCTCGCCTGTTTCCGACCCATCCCCCTGCAGTTCCACTGCCACACTTTCAAACCTGGCTTTGCTGACTTGCGCATGATTGTGCGTCCAAAATTTCTGCGTCCCGTAGAGGCTCGCCCGTTTTTCTCCGCTTCGAGACGAACTGCCTGAAGAGGCTCTCTTGGTTTCGCTCAAGAGTCTTTCCTAATTTCTCCAGCTCGGTGACCCTGCATGTCAGCTGCATCAGTTGGCTGGTGAAGAATTCTTGAAGTCCCTGGATCGCCCGCTGAACGGTCGTCTCCACGATCGCTTGTACTTGCTCTGCCAAGACTCCCCCGGTTCTGTCTCTTTTGTTCCAAAGTTGCTCAATGGTCTTTTTGCAGTGGGTCACGTCCCTCCGCAGGTCTTGTATCGCTCCGTTGCTGCTCGCCCCTCCACCTTTGGGCTGGGACGTGCTCCTCGACTCCTGATCCCCGACCCTTGGGAGTTCCGGCCACTTGCGATTGCCTGGATCAGTGAAGATCCCTTCCATAGAGGTGCTTCGCTTGCTCTTTTTTCGCTTGCCCTTTTGCCGGCGCCGCTTGGATGTAGTCATATCTCGAGACGCGCTTCTCCCACAGCTGGCGGACCGGCTGCGCGAGCGGGTGCGCGAGTCTGACACGCTCCGTCCCGACACTCTCGAAAGCCACCGCACGTGCTGCGCGCCGTCGCGACGTCTCCCCCGACTCCGTCTAGGCTCCCTGCTTTTAGTCTCCTTGTAGAACTTCTCCGGGCAGTGTCTGTCGTAGGTCTTGTGGGCCCCCCCGCACAAGGCACACTTCGGCACACACTCATGGTCCTCACCGACCTCAGTGGCCCAGCACGCCGAGCACGCAAATCCCTCCGGCTTGCTGCATACGTCGGTCCGATGGCCCACTTCACCACAGTTCAGACAAGCCGCCCTAGTCTTCTTATAGATAAAGCAGGGAGTCTCAAGCCAATTGAAGCTCACCGTGAACGGTACCTTCTTCCCCGCAAATACGATTATAGCAGACTGTGACTTCCCTAGCCTCCTTGCTTCTAGAACTTCGTATCCCACAGCTCTGGTTTTCTGTCGAATCTGTTCGTTAGTCAGGTCAGGCCGGACACCGTGTATGACGCCGCGGCACGCATCTTCGCTCGGGGAGACATGATACGCTTCGACGTCTAGCACGCCGACAGGAAAATTCAGTTTCTTGATACCTGCGACGGCTTCCGCTTCGCTCCATTCGTTCGTACAAACCATGATTGTATTCTGTGCTTCCAGCAGCCTTACGACCGTCTTCTCGTCCAATCCTCTCGGCAGGGAGCTCTGGACCGCTTCCCCGATCAGGCTCCTGTACCGCTTCAGGTCCACCGCGACCCGATGAGGTTTGATAATGACCTTGTGCTTGTAAACTCTGAGACTGGGCAACCTCAGAGTTTTCCTCGACTTGAAATTCTCCGCCGTTGTTCCCCCCGGCTTCATCTCGAGGCCTTGTGCCTCCCTCTTGCTCTTTTTCTTCTGCATCAGTACTTGCACCCAGCCGTTGCCGGGTCCTCCGTCCTCCTGGTCCCCCAAGGTGGCATCCTTGATTCCATCATCCCGGAGTGGCCGCTGTGCCGGGTTGATAAATCCATGCGCCACCTCGTCTGGGTTATAGCCGATCACTCGACCGGTACCTGGAGTTTCTTGGGTCCTTGTATCCATCCTCCAGCCTTCAGCCCCCCCCAGGACGGTGACCGCCACGCGATAGGCCTAGCTAGGCGGCCGCTCCGAGAAGCTCGGTGCGGCGCGCCCTGCGGCGCGAAGCCTAACGAGTGTTAACAGGCCCTCTGTGGGCCAGAATCGTGACAATGTCCTTGAAATGAGAAAGATTCGGCTCACCGGCATGAAAGTGGTATCGAGCGAAACCGGAACGTTAGCTCTGTCTTCTCCAACACTTTTCACCGCACAGAAAAGGAATTTTCAAGAAAAAGGACGATTTTCTGCGGTGCCCATAGAACATGCGTCCGCTCTCAGCACGTGCGTGCACGCGCCTCTGAACAACAGTTTAACGAACGCACTATAGTGCGTACGTTGGCAACATTAATTAACAAGGCTTATTTGAGCTTTCTAACGGTTTCATATTTTCATGACACTATCATGAAACTGTCATGAAAAGGTGAAACCTCTAGTAAGCCTTGTTACTTGATGTCGCCAAGCGTTTACAAGGAGCTCAAGTAAAAGCCGTCAGGCTTCAATGAATACAACCAATTAGTGATATATGTAGTTACCTTGACAGAGTTCTATGGTTTCTCGCTTTCTGCTGCTTTCATGACAATGAATGCCATCAATTTCACATCTATTAGTCAATATTTCACAAGAAAAAATGCAAACAGACTACGTACGCACAAGTGTGAGCGTAGATAAGATCGCCTATTGATTTCACGTATACACTTGCACTCATGCGCCCGTCAACGTTTTCCTACGCAGGTTATAACGACGTTCTTCATGATGTGTGCAACGATGCTCCGCCTAAACCAGGTTCTTGCAGTAATCACACACTCAAGTTTACTTTCAACATATACCTGAAGCAATGCCAACCCGCTTATGTCTGCGGCTCTTCTGGCACTAAGAATATCTTTGACACTAAACAACTATGCCAGAAAACCTGTCCGATTGGTAGGTATCATATTCTACAAAATAATACTTCACCCTAGAACATTTAAGAGTGGCAACATGTGTGCCTTAAAACATCTGACGAACCTATTTTTTTTTCGAAAGCTGGACTGAATTAATGGCCTACAGTAAAACTATACGAACATAAAATTATCCGTACCTTTTACATATGATAAAATGAACTGCCTTGATAACGCTCAAGCGTAAGCAGAGAAAACAAAATTTGCTTTTGAAAAACCAAGGCTAAAAATAACTTATTGAACAATCTACTGGCCATGATTACACTAAATAACTGCTCGAAAACATAAGGCTTTAAATTGTTTAAAATATACTATTCAAAAGAATTCAGAGCCTAAAAGTTAAAAACTGTAAAAAAAAATATTCCGAGGACACGCACTTTTTATGAGTTGTGAATGCGAAAGCATGAATGTCGTTTTTTCGGTCCCTTAGTTTGTCTGCGGCGTCCTGGCGTGGAAGGCCATGTTTCGGTACTGCCGAAGTGGCGGCCGACGGCCGAGCGCGCGCTCTCGTGAAGTGGTCGCGCCGCGCTGAGCTCGGCCGTGCAGCCTATCCGGAGTGTGCCCGGGCGGGCTCTGCCAACACCACATAGACAGAAGGCCTCCGCATGGTCTCCTCTCCTTTTATGAAACGTCATCAGGTCGGATCGCGCTAACTCGGCTATCGGGCCCGAGCCCGAGCTTCGACGCGCTAATTGGACACGAGCACCGGCCGAAGACTGACACAGCACTCGTGCCCAAATCTCACGCCTCGATCGATCTGACTGTGATGACGCGTGCGGAGGCCTTGTCTAGGTGGTGTTGGTTCTGCGACCAGCCGCTCCCTCTCACCGACGGCAGGGGCGCTGCGTCGCCACGGAGAGGGCTTCCCTGCGGGGTGGCGATCCTTGGAACTACGCCACGCAGCAGCCAATGGGAGCCTCGTTTCTTGAAACTATGACGCGCTCCAGCCAATGGGAGCCTATTCATCAAATCGCGGCTTCGGACGACAGGCTTCGCTTCATTGGAACAGGGGATTTTAGGTGCCGTTTGGCGCGGCTTCAAAAGTTGATGACGTCCTTTCGCTCCATGGGATAGTTAATTCTTTCGCATTAAAATAAGTAAAACTTGATATTTCTCAAAAAGAAGCGCTCGACAGAACTTACCTTTTTCTGCCAGTGAGACTAGTGCCATCGTAAGGCTACGCTATTATTAATCGTATCGACGAGCACCACAGCGCTCTCTATTCATGCATTTATTTAATATATATTAGAAATTAAAGTGGAATTTTTTTCAATTTAACATTAACTGCGACTTTTTTCCAGCTTCCAAACCTTCTAGATTTTGTTTTTCATATTCATATATGTATAAAACATGAAGGTTATAGAAGCGAAAAGGAGTGACACAGGAATTTTCGACAAGAATCAAAGCCTTAACGAAATGTCGACTGCCACTCTCATCTCTCTCTAAAGTTTCTCTTTTAGTCAAATACATATTAATTTTAAGACTCTATGCTCCTTTTTTTAACTGTAATAAAAACTTTATCCTAGTTTTCCGATCCCGCACATCGTTTACACTTAAAGTACAAGTATTGGTCAATTTCCTACACAAATGTAAAAAATAGTTCGATATTTTAATCAATTTAATATTTGTAATATATAGCGTTTATTACATTCCCAAAAGACGTCTTTTTAATAGGCATATTGACTAATCCCCGCTATAATTCGGCGGATTTCACATCTTGTTGTAAACTTCAACGTGCAACGCACATACTAGTTGCTAATACGTCAGTCGCGGTGAAAATATTCAAGATTATAAGCAACTTCAACATGGTGTTAGACGTCGTCGACCGCTGGATACGAGGCGCTAGGAGGGTAGGATGTTATTTACAATATTTACAAATGGTGTATGCAGGTGCAGCCGAGTCAGGAGTGCGCGGATGTTCTTCGTTTTTCATGTCGACTAATGAATGACGCGGACGTTTACAATAACCTTCCTTCACACCAGCGGTGACAACTGCCATCCAGACCTAACAAAATACTTGAGATTTGTATTCGTTTTGTTATTGTTTTTTCTTCTGATCATTCACATTGTCTATCTTCCTCCAGATAAGTTCTGCACTATGCCAAGACCATACACTTCGTGCAGTGCTGACGCTACAATAATAACTACGTGGCATTTGAGTCCCTTCACCAGGAGATGCGTTTCGGCCACCGGCTGCACCTTTGCACTCCCCGATTTTCAAACACAGAGGGAATGCCAAGCGGCCTGCAGAAAACGTAAAATACGATTGAGCCTTTTATGCACAAACTCGTGTGTTCGGCAACCTTTTAGGCACAAATCGACTCGCGCAAAGTCTATATCAATAGAAAAAGATCTACTCGGAGGGCGTGGCAGAGACAACGGCAGGTGGGGGCGCTGCTCGCGTTTGTGGCATTTCCATATCGCGGTGAGTGAAAGGACCGATCTTCGTCAATGAGCGCAGATTCAGTTTGGCTATTGTCTTATCACATTTCTCTCCCCTCAGACCAATACAGAATTGTCGGCAATGCGCATCGCACACCCACCAGCCACCGTCTTGGAGTGGGTCTTTCAAATTGGTGGAAACTGTCTACGTCTATGTCTGCGCGTGCTGTGCGTGTGCGTGCCTCTGTGTGTGCGCGCGCATACTTATGGCTGCGTGGTATAGTGCCTGCGTGCCTCGTGCGTGAGTGCGTACGTGCGTGTGTGTGTGTGTTTGTGTGATTGCCTGTAGCTGAGCAGATTGGATATGTGACGCCAGCTGAACGGAGGAACGGAGGAACGTTGCATTAAGATTGCATTCTTCTTGCTGCGTTCAGCTGGCGTATCTACAAGTGTGTTTTTTGTGTGTGCTTCGGTATTCGCTCTTTCTCGCGTTAGTTAAAGGGTAATGGTGCCAGCACGCAAATAGCCCCCCTCCACTTCCCGCTCCGAACTAGACGACCGGGTTTAGCAGTATTTGCAAAATCAAACATACCTCGCCATCTTCAGAAAATGGCAACCTTATAGCACTGTCCGACATAATTTCCTCTCACGATAACCGAATGATAAGTAAAAAATAAGGAGAGATACGTGAACCGAAAGTGTGCCGGGGCTACACAATAGATGGCGCCACTGAGTTTGTTGCTAAACAAAAAGGGCGAATATGCTGACACAATCGCATTCACATTCCTAGCTGATTACGTGCCAGACAGGTCAAAGTTCCTAGACAGTTATATACTTTATAAATTGATAATATTATTTATTTGTGACAGGACGACGTACCCTAGGTGGCTGGCACGGCTAGCCGTTAGCGACGTGCGCGAACAAAGACATCGCTGTGGTCGCAATTCGCCATTGGCCGAACGTTCACTTTGACGACGTCGACTTAAGAATGTGATGACTGCATTGTTATAACACGACTTTTGATTGGGCTAGTTGGTTCACACTTGACATTAATCAAATACGTAGCACCAACTGAACAATGACGAAGGGGCGCACATACGACAGGACTGCTATTGTTACAGACACCGTCAATCTTGTAGTTCAAAACTGGTGATAATTAGTCAAAGATTACATCTCGTAATGTCACGGTCAGAAACATTCTGGTCGTGATGTCATGAGGAGAGTCCATAAGAGGGCGCCACCGAACCACCTCGTCCCTAATGCTCCGTTTCACTTTAAGTGCGAACGCAGTCGACGCTGCAGTCAGATCGAGTCAATAAAACAGCACCAAAAGCTTCTTCTCAGGTCGCCCATCGTTTTTGTACGTTGTCCATCGCTGGTTAAACCAATCACGCACACGGATTCGGCGGTTCTTTCCCAAGAAATCGAGGAACCAGCTTTTTTTTAGGACGCGGTAAGCACACCCCTCAGAGACGCGTTTTAGGCACCATGCCTGAAGTGATTCACGTGTCCTGCCACTGAACGTCTTTCGTGCAAACCACAAAGACCAAACTTAAATGATATGACATATGCGTTGTGTGAGGACCTTCGGATGATCATCTGGGCGCATATTTAAAATTTCGGTTAACTAACAAATACAAGCTATCCAAGTAAATATAATTGAGGAGTAAACTAAAGAAAGAAAAAAAAAAACATGGGCGTAGACGATAAAAATAAAACATATTCCGCAAATGTTTTGATGAAGTGAAATGTTTCTTCTGTTATTGCAGACACCGTGTGTTATCAGCCAAGCGATGAAGGAGAACCCGTTGGAGGCGTGGGGAGCTTCTGGCGTTTCAGTCGTAAACAGCATCGTTGCCTTAAGACTGGATATTCTGAAGGAAATAGAAACATTTTCGGGAATGAAAAGGAATGCATGGAAACCTGTCCTTACGGTAAATACCAAAATCTAAACAATTACTGGAAATATTCGGAAAAACAAATAAGTGCATTTATTGCATTATGAGAAACACGTATAAATCCCTGCAACCCCTGCTACCTCAAACACCAGTAAAATCACTCCTCTAACACTTCGAGAAGATATTTACAAATGTGTCATTTTCTCTACGAGAGGGGAATGACAGATCCAAAATACTACGACGAATCACGCGAGGCAGTACACCTCTGCGATCGCTATGGCAGACATACACGTAAACCTTAGAAATATAGGGTGGTTCAAGTCACCAGGCTCGATCTAAAATGGACCGTAAAAATCGACACCTTCACGTAGCCATCTAAACTTTTCGTCAAAGTGTATGTATTATACAGGTCGGTTTTTTCTTGTAAAATTACAAAGCGTAGTTCTTTTTTGGTAAAAAATAGGGCGAAGAAACTTGCCAGGATCTACGGCGGGCGGCGACCAGACGACCAAGTCCAGTAGCGGGGTGTGTTTGGCGTTTGTATTAATAGATGGCGTCGGGAGCAGCGTCTGAAGGTGGAGTCGACCAGCGAAAGATAGAAGATGACACGCAGACGAAATCCGTTGGCAGCAAAAGTGCCGCAATCATGCAGACGCGTTTGTTTTTTGTTTTTGTTTTTTACTTTAAGTTTTGTTTTTATTGTTCGCATTTATTTTTTAACCGAAGGTACATCTAAAAAAAAGATTAGGTTCACTTTAATAAACCACGGTGATCGCGAGCCGTCGCGATAAGGAGGTAGCGCCATCTATCAATACGAACGCCAAACACATCCTGCTACTGAACCTCTGTCGTCTTCGTTGCTGCCCGCCGTAAACCCTGGCAAGTTTCTTGGCCTTACTTTTTACGGAAAGAGAACTACGCTTTGCAATTTTACAAGAACAAAACCGACCTGTGAAGTACAGCTTTAACAAAAAGTTTAGATGGCTACGTGCAGGCGTCGATTTTTACGGTCTTTATTAGATCGAGCCTGGTGACTTGAACCACCCTATATAAGCGTCCATCCTACGCCTTTTCTAAAATAAAAAAAAAATATATTATTATTATTTTTATGGAATGGTATTGATTATGCTGAGATGTTCGGATAGGGAACTGCTAACTCATATTGCATGGTTGAAATGGTTGCACGATGGTTGCACGATGCATGGTTGCACGATGCATGGTTGAAATCCAGCAGCATTCAAAAACGAAAACTAATGAAAGATGAAAAGCTATAAGACAGCCTCCAGACGCCCGAGAACGCGCTCTAACATGAAAGCGCATGATTCAAGAGCGCACCACGCCACTTCAGCTTTCGACATAGAGAGCCTAGATTTACGAGAGGGAGCAACTATAATAATGAAAAGCGTTTACTATTTAATGGCGGACACTCGCGTGGCGAGGATGTAAGCGGGGGGAGTCGCCGAGGCGCTCGCAGACCATCGACGCTTTCGTCGCCTCGTCGCAGCTCGGATTGTACACGCGACCCGTAGACCACGCCACCCCGATCGAGATGTTGGGGACACGCTGAAATCTAGGCGCGCTAGTCCGACACGAGAGCACTAACGGCGCCAGTGGGTAGTTGTGCTAGTTTCTAATGTTGCACACAATGTTGCTTTTCTGTTACATAATTAAGCGTAAGAAAGAGAAAACGTAAAGCCACAAAGAATCAATTTGCGCAACATCTTGTGTTTCTTCGTGTCAAGGCAATCGTCGATACGCTGCTGTATTCTGTCTGCCTTTTTAACATTTAACTTGTTTGAGATACAAAAACAAAGTCCACGCCTCGGCGTAATTGAACAATGCGTGTTATCTGATCACATAGTTTCACCGTGCCAGTAAGGGCATTTTCACCGGTGCGTAATAAACATTGTTACTTTTCTACCCACAGGAGGGCACTTAGAAGAATGCAAACTCCCTAAAAATGAAGGCTACGACTGTCTGCAACAAGGAAAGTCTTTCATCCGATATTACCATGATCATAAAAGTGGCCAGTGTAGTCGTTTTTTCTATAAGGGCTGCTGCGGGAATGCCAATAACTACTTAACAAAGCGTGCGTGCGAAGTAACCTGTCAAGTTTTAAGAAGGTAAGCTTTACTCCAACATGTTTAAGGGATAAACATATAACTTAGAGTGTTTCAGTAAGCTCCTGTAGACGAATCTTTAAATAAATGTAAGACACTGATACAATAATTGTACGGTATATTATCCCCTTTATTTTATGATGTGTACCATGTAAGCTGTTCTGAGCATCGACAAATTAACTCAGTTATATAGTCTCTATCATGGTATGTCTCGTCCGCCAATAAGAGTCCATAATCCACGCGCGTTCAATGCAAACAATCTTCAAACGATCGCGAACACTAACTGATAAATAAAAACCAGAAAATATATAAATCGCGAAAAACTAAATACTTATTTGACCTCTGTACAACGTACTCACATTATTTAGATAGATAACTTCATTGACATAAGAGTATATATTATGGGCAATCTGGGGGTGCAAAAGGTTGGACTTGGACCAGGTGGTCCGCATGCCAAATCTGCGAGGGACGCGAGCGGCGCTCAACCGCTCGCGTGGCGCGGTGGGTCTTGTGACCGCGACGCGGGCGATAACGGCCATTTGTTTACGTGTTGTTGATCCAGCGCGTTGTGCCATTCTCCGAGACGGGTAGCAGCAAAAGAATTCCTATAATATGCAGGGCGTTTCAGCAACGACTGGAAATAATCCTGAAAAGACACTTGAAGTAAAAATATGATTTCTTAAGTATTACGTTACTCAACACGACGGACGACAGATTAAGGAGTGCAAAGTGGCCATCGAATTATCCTAACACCACTAATTAACTTTCCGTTATATGTTTGCCTTGGCTGGCACACTCTCTTCCTTTAGGAATATTCCCTGCTTGTTGTCAAAGTATGCCATCGACGTTGTGAAAATTTAGCCGTCTAAATTCTGCTTATGCTATTCTCTTGCAAATGTAAGCCACGACCAAACTCAGATACCGAAACTAGACGCAAAACATGAACGTAATTTCCACCCAGGAGTGACGTCAGTATCAACCACGAGCACGGGTAGCCAGCCATAGCAATCTGACCTCCAGGGATGCGTAAAGTTGTCGTAGTAATATCTCCTCAGGCCTTTTTTTTTTTGTTTTTTTTTTTGTTTTTTTTTTTTACAGCGATAGTTGCTAAGCGCCCTTCCACCCACCTAGAAATAATTATGTTGTTAATATCACCAAGTTCTTTAAAAAAAAAATCACCCTAAATACATACCGTTGTTTTTTCCGGGATGCGATCCTGAGTCCGCTGGTTGCGGAGCGAGCTCGCCACCGCTAAGCCACACCACCTATCATGGATGAAGAAACAATAAAACAATTGAAACAGGGACAGCACAACCACATCTTTCACTGAAAGATGTGGTTGTGTTGTCCCTGTTTTAATTGTTTTATTCTTTCTTCATCCATGACTTAAACCAACACGCTCTTCTCCCAAGCACACCACCTACTTCAGCACGCATATCAGTCTCGTGCATCGTCCGCTACATTAACGCAGTTGTGGTGACGTCGTATCACGTCATTTGAGTGTCATTCTTTCAACTAGAGAAGATATTTATCTATTTAGCTTGTGCAGGCTTGCAACCGGGCCAATGGAGAAACCTTTCGCCCGGTTGCAATTTGATGTGGTAATTGTGACGTGTTTAGCATGGTCCTCCTGACGACGCTAAGCAGATAAGAATTCCTGACGTATAACCAACATATAGTCATCTCGTCAAGTGGTATGTGTACTCAACGTGAATAATTTCTGCCGTCTAACACATATGTACTGAACTGCACACTTCAATGCGGTCGCTTGTTTAGCACCAAGGTAAACATAGCAGTCGTGCTTGAACCATTTTAATACATTTTACTCCAACCTCCCTTTCATTTCAGAAAACCGAAGACAGCTGAGCTTTCCATCTATTCTTTAAACGAAGCATCTGAATTAGAACAACTATAATATAATTTCTCGGTTGAATTACTAGAATCATTGGTAAAAATAAAGAAATAAAGAACTACTTTGAATGTATACACCAAAATAAAATCATTCCAGTAGGAAAAAAAGAAAAAAAAAGCTTGTCAGTTTTTGTTTATCTGGAAATATCGACAGCTGCCACTTTATTGATATTCCTATATTTTCGTCAGGGTATCTCGATTACCTCTTACTCCGTTCAAGAAATATAGACTACCTCTTGCTTAGAAGGCTTTTCTAAATTATGCGTAGACATACATCATGATGTTTACAGCAGGGCTTAGTTTGGAGCCCACTGGCATGGTACACTTTGAACACACGCTCGATTGGTGCCGCTATTAAAACGACACTGCTCTAATGAGGGGACCCCCGATGAGAATCAACGTGATGACGTCGGAAGATATGCTCGCGCGCAGGCAGTGTTTTACCGCTGAGCCCCAGAAGCAAGTTCAACACTGCACTACTTTCTGAAGTTCTTCAATATTTCAAAATGCAGTCAATTGACCAAGCGCGTGTAAGAATCGCTTCCGGTGCATTTGTTGCTTTTAGGTACGTACATTCCTTTCATGTTTGCTGCTTTGAGTTTCGTAACTGACAAATATGTATGTTAATATATTTTTGTATATGGGCCTCTGCATAGGCTTCTTTCATATTAAAGTTTTAAAAATTATATTCGTACGAACCTTTATAGCTAGCTCCTTGAACAAGTTTTAATATTAACTTGGATGAATACTAATCCACTAGAATTTAAAAATCATTACAAAGATATTACAAGCTTACTAAAGAACAGTTACTTGTTTCAAAAGCTCTATTTTAACGCAGAAAAGTTTTCGAATTTGAACAACCCTTTCGTATGAGAGGTATTTCAGTGAGGTTGTTAATAAGCCTACTTCTTATAATTCTATCGATAGCTAAGCTTATTAAATGAGCCGAGCATTTTAATTATACATTGAAAGGGTGGTGTATTTAGATATTTGCGCGATTTTACACAGGTAAAACTGTAGCCTCATCCAAAAATAAACGAATTTTGTGCCGGCGGTCAACATTATCATGTTTGCAAGCTGGCAGTCTAACAACAGACTTATTAGGATGTGGTTAATATAGTTAAGGCATGAAAGGTGAATATGGTATGAAATATTATGTATAATGTCTAATAAACGGAAGCATGGACAAATTGATAGATGCCAAATTTATAAATTCGTATTTGTCACATGAAAATTGCGAGTTTCTCTTCAGGTTATACGGTCGAGTTCACACCATCGAACTTCAGATTCTTCTTGCAGATAGTATCTGATTCCAACAATTACGTGACGCATAACCACCGCGGCAAAGCGGGGTCGAAAAACAATACCAAAAGTTGTCCTGCAAAGGCAAAACATTGACATTTATTATTTTAATACGAAAGTAGTGAAGTAGTACTTGGCTTTTTCAAGCTTCTTCTTAAAACAATTCTGCGACATTCCTGGCTTTGTCTCCTGCAAAGATAGTACTTTCTAGCCTCCGATTTTCAAGGGGAAAGCGTGCACTTACACAGTGAATTAAGCGAATGAACACGGCGTGACACGGAAGAAAATAGCTGGCACTCGTTGCTGTTTCTGGACTCCGCTTCAGGGTGTCTGACATATGCCTAAGTCTTCTAAACATAGTAAAGCGTTCACAATATTCATTTATTCACAAATACAAGCTAATTTTTGTTTTTGTTTTTTCTTTATACAGTGTGGCTTTGAATAGTTTACACGTCCTGTTTTCTGCTCGCTGCGCCTATCGGGAGATGGCGCCACAAATTAATCACCTGTTTTTGTTTTTTTTATATTTCTCCTCGTCATGGGAAGTAGAGGTGTACCTCAACTTCACGACACTGTTTCGCGAACACGACATCGGCGCATTTTCGCACTTTAGTTCTAAGTAGTATTAGCGAGCACACAATTTTATCGCTTACATTGGAGAACTAAATGAGCTTTTACCGTAGCAAAAATAACTTGGATGACATCCCTTGTTTTCAAAGAGAAAAACTGAAAAAACTGGTGATCGCTTGTTCGCGCTAACAGTGTCGCGCTCTGTACCTATCGCTATCGCATCTACTTTCCAGTCTTCTTTCCTTCTTTGCACATCCCTCAACTGGAGCCACCTTCGCGGACCAATTACATCCAACACTGACACAGTATTTTTCAAATCTGCTCTAACCAATCTCTCTCTCTTCAAGTAACACCTTTTGGCGGGCTAGTTGGTTCATGATTTGTAGAAATAGATAAACTGCGCAAAGGACGAGGACAGAGGTAGAAACGAGTACGACACACGGAGCACAGCACGCTCCGTGTGTCGTACTCGTTTCTACCTCTATCCTCGTGCTTTGCGCAGTTCATTTATTTCCCTCTCTCTCTCTCTTTTTTTTTTTTTTTGTGAGTGTGAATAATATAAATTGCATTGTTTTGACCCCCATTTTGCTCTCCCCCTGTATAATGCACTCGGGCTTTGAGGGTAAAGCAAATAAATAAATAAATGAATAAATAGGATCGCTCAAACAGATCCGAAACTGTAAAATGAGCCACAGAAATCGGCGTCTGCAGATATACACCAACTCCTGTTTACAAACAAACCGGAGCGCCCGGAGCACCCCTAGCGGACGCCACCGGCGCCGCGCATGCGCGATGGGGGTGTGGGCAAGAAGCCCGCCGTCGCCCATAAACAAACCATTGAAATGCGATGTTGTCGGCGTCGGTGTGAGTCCCCGCGCTCTTTTTCGCGTTGGAATTGTTGATTCTACGTCCTCCTAACGATGTCTGACTACTTGAGCGGCGTCAGCGAAATTAACGAGGCTCGTTACACCGCAAAACTTCGCGTGAATAATCTGACATGCGGCGATTCATTCCGCGTGGACGCCGCAGAATGTACGCTAAAGCCCGATTCACATGATGAGATTTCGCTCACAATTTTCAGTAGCGACGTCGCTCGGACTGCAAAAGCGTGAACCGTAGCTGAGATGGTCGAAGTCGATACTGAAAATCGCAAGCGGAATCTAACCAAGTGAATCGGGCATAACAAGTCGGTGATGGCCACTGGTAACAATGATCAACATCTCC